TACAGGAACGAATTACCTTTTCTGGCGATGATGCGCACATCACCATGGCTCTCGATTCAATTCCACGCATCTTCGCAGGTTTCAAATTACATAACACTACGACGAGACGATTTTGCATCTGAAAAATTTCTAGACCCACTTCAATAACCTGACTGCTCGCGTAAAAATACACTGGACAATGCAACAAAAGTGCCCACAACAGTTACAAAAACATGATATACCAGGTGGTCCTAGAGAAAACTTTTCTGACTGCAAGTGGGGCGGGACCACGGAACTGCGTCATCAGCATGCCGCTTCCTGGCTTTTTCACCGCATCAAGGGTGAGAAAAGAGGAAATTCCCGACGGCGCCATTTCCTGCTTGTATCTACTAGCAATTAGGCACTGCGTTTTATACTTTGCCGCGCAGCGTTACTGAGCGAAAAGTTATATAGACATCGATTTAGCCCTCTGAACGTTTCGCGGTAGGTAAGTTTCTGAAATCTGCGCGGGCAGTCGCTCAAAACGCTGACGCAAAGCACCTTACCGATGATTTTTTGATAGATTTTTTTTTGAAAAAAAATTATTAGAACTTTCAGCACAAATGATATGAGCACAGCGAGGCGACCCTTCTCTCCCCCCCCCTCAGGAAAAACTGACTAACCTGGTCAAGTGGAACATGCTTAACCAGTCCAGATACGACCGTTCTTGGTGCAGGTTCTCCTACGTCAATCTGTTCAACGTACAGAGCGTCCGCATCGGGATGCTTTTCACATTGCACAATACGACCAACTCGAAGATCGAGGCGTCCCACGTCAATCTGATCATCAGCAGCTGCATCTAAAATACATCTTCCCGCTATTTCTAGGACAAGCTCCTAAACACACAATTCAGGCGCAGATCGCTTGGAGGGGCATTTTGCTGATTTCCTTTGACAACTGCTGATGCATCCTGTGAAAGCATGTGAACTGTAAAGGTATGCAATGGCAAGAGCTCCGTTGACACTTGACAAGACTCAATTCAACTAGAACCCGAAAAGGAAACTAGCAGAGGTGCAGCATGCCCTCCAACTCGGACAGCGCCCATAACTCATATGTAGGAACATGAATAAAGACTCACTATCAGCTTTCTTGTTACCACCAGAGCTGGCTTGCTTCTTTTCTCCACCAGATTTCTCCTTTTTGGACGGCTTTTCGGGACTTTCACTTTTCACGCTCGTCACAGAGGCAGTCGTCGCAGGCTCTGCTTTCTCCACGGTCTTGGCTAACTGCGGAATCGCAACTTGTTTAACTATAACACTGTCGTTTCTGGTGATTCATTCCAAATGATGTTGAGAAATCGTCCGGAAATGTTGACGGGCGGAGCCAGGGAACGAAGCCACCCCTCTTACTCGTTAGACTCCTCTCACATATGTCTTGCCAAATACTCGAGAAAGGGACACTATGACATCGTCCCTCGTCTTCCCACCCCTCTCTTTCCCACCCCCCCCCCCCCCGCCCCCTCATCCGCCCCCAACATTCCCGGACGAGGTCTCTGAAGCATCAACTCACTTCCAGCAGCTGTTTCAGCCTCAATCAATTGACGTTTGACAGATTCAACTTCTTTTTCGAGTTTCGAAATGTTAGCAGCCAATTCAGCTCCTTTCTGCTTTATAAACAATTCGCCTAAAGTGTTAACCAAGTGTTACGCTCCGCATGGAGTAAAAAAATCTGCGGAAAAGTGAAAATTAGCAAAATTACCGTCTGAAACTCACGCGAGCTGATTGAACTTCTTGTATGAACCCTCAAGCAGCGTTTGATCTGCTGCTGATTATGTACCAGATGGGATATGTTACCTCCTACCGTTTTGCCATATTCGATTTTGCCTTCTCTGATTTTTTCGGGTTGTTCTCGCCGGCACTGGCCTTCGTCTCTTGCTTTGACTTATCTACAATATAAGCATTGAGTTGGTGAAGGTGGGTGTGGTTGTGCTGAACGATATCGCCACATCAAATCGAAAAGGGCAGTGCAAGAGAAAAGCCAATTTTAGACAGCGCTCAGACTTCGCGATGACGCGCGTCGACGCGCTACAATTGCAACAGCGCTTCACTGCTATAGGCGAGGGCGTAAACGCAGAACCGCCTTCACAGAATCTGGCACTCTTCCATTGTTTCAATTTCTCCCACTGCCCTGGCCGGAACCGATACCAGACTGCTTGATTAGGCAAGACGTCCCTCTTTCTCCCCTACACCCTCTCCATACAAAGGCGGCCGGCACCGATCGATTCCCGTCTGCGGCTGCGTTCGCGTCTGTAGTTTGGAACGCTGTTGCATTTGTAGCCCGTCGACGCGCGTCATCGCGAAGTCTGAACGCTACCTTGCACCATAAATAGAAACAGTGACTAAATGCAGCGAAACTTGCATGCTATGAATCGCAGGAGGCTCTCAAAGCTCAGGAAAATCAAAACAGTCAAAAGAAGGCAGAAACTTCCAAAGTTCATTTGGTGCTTAGCAACTTCTTCAGATGCTTAGCGTCTACTTCACGTGGCCAGAAATACTTTGCGGTCAGAGTAAATTTGTAATAATTCTTTATATGTCCAACGAATTTCAGTCAGCCTCCATTAGTACGGTACGATGACCCTTACGGAGCCCCGATTGAAACGACTGAATAACCCATACTTACTGGGGGCTCCATTAAGGCCGCCAAACCGTACAAATGGAGGATGACCAAGGCCACCAATACACCGCCACTGACCGCAAGGTATTTCAGACTACACGAGGAGGTGATACCCACCGAAATACAGTCCATAGGGGCAAAGAGGGATGTTTTCAAGTGACTGACGCTTTCCTGGGTCTGGACGAAAGAGTGGCATGAACGTTTTTGTAAGAGAAAACTGAGAGTGACAAGTAGCCTATCACACTGGGGTTTCAAAAATCTCCCGAAACCCTACTTTTCCAAGACAATGCTGGTAGTCAATGAAAGGAAGACCGCGCACAAAATAGCGAAAGAAAAGATATGTGCCACCGCAGACATGTAGATTGTGCAGAAATTTCGAGAATAGTAAAGATATTGAATATTCCCAGCAGTTGGGGGAGAAAACTCGTCCTGAAAAGTATCTAGGGTACTAAAGTATCACAGACGATAAAGAAATGTACGTAAAAGAAAGCAAATAGTGGAAAAACGTAGCATCGGCGTCTCACATCCCAGAAGGTCTGGCCATCTCACGTCACGGACCTAAAAGACAGCATTCTGAAGCTGTCCAAGTCTTCATTCACACATCACTAACTATACAAACGCACAACAACAGAGTTAACCGAAGTCCAGGAAATGAAGCAGATCCTGGCCCGCTCGGCTAAGCCAGAGGGTTGTTCCTCTCACAAAACCAAAAAGATGTGCTAGAAGATAAGAAACCTAGGACCGAAGCCCCGCTTATTTCACGAGCTTCATGCGAGATTACTGAGTACAATTAACGTAAAATACACTCCGAAATGACAGGAAATTGGCAACGAACGCGACGTCGAGAAAGAAGGTGACTCAAGTGGATGGCAGTGCAAAAGTAGGCACAGTTCGGCGCCGGGAGGGGGCATTTTGCACTCTCATTCCCAGTGTCAGTGTCGAGTCAGAGAGAGTTTTAAAATCCTGTGAGCACATGAAGTGATACCGTTCGAAGTTCGCAAAAATAACTTGTAAACTTCTAGTAAGGATACCTGTCAACTCGTAAAGCAATGAACACAACGACGGGAAGTAGTGAAAATGCAGATTGCCCACTCCCCCCCCCAAGTCGAACTGCGCCCAATGGTACTGCAACATCAAATAGAGCAAGAAACAATTTACCTTTCCGTTTCTTTTGATTTTGGTCCTCAACGGTCTTCGATCCACCAAACTTCGCTTTCCATTCAGCTACTTTCACATTCTCCATTTTTGTGAACAGCGGTTTTGGCTAAAACACATTCTAGATCTTATTTCCAAATGTATACCACTTTCATTTTAAGCCCACGACTTTTCAAATCAGATTTGAGGGTTGGTTAAATATGCTACAAAAGACAGATCTGCAGGTCTCGCCCATCCAGTCAAGCTCACTTCTACGTCTTTTTGCGGAAGTTCAGTTTTTTTTTCCGAAGTTCTTCCTTTTTTGAGCTGTTAATGGTGGCCTGCCTGCCCCCCTCCCCCCATGAAAATAGAATTTCTGCCGATCAGAAGCCCTGCTACTCTCGCAATTACTCATTTTAGCAGGTTAGAGTCTCAACTAGTACGTCAGAGTCTCGCTCGTTGCAGGAGACAAAACGAAAGGCAAAGTTTGTTCCGAGTGACGATACTGTAATCTACTAGTCGAGACGCTAAGCTGCCAATGTGAGGCATGCTGCGAGAGTGGACGCGGCTTCTATGGAACGGGCGTAGCTTTTCATGATGGGCAGGGCTACCCGTTACAGCCCAACAAGGTAAGAATTCCGAGAAAAGACCAGAATTCCGCAAAAAGAAAAGTGGGAGTGTATGGAGGGCCGATGCCTGAAACGTCTGAAAAGTCGTGAGTTTGGAATAAAAAACTGTATACGTAATTCAAACTGCTGTTGTAGCCAGAACAGAACAAACAGAAAAGACCTACCGTCCCTATTTTATGCCCTGGTTTGAGATATGATAACGGGTACGTGGAGAAGGCGGGTAATTGGTCCAAAGCACACTGGGACCTTATACGGGCTGAGACCTAAATCAAAACTTGACATAAATCAATCCCATGGCCGATACATAATCATTTGTTTGTTAAGATTGATACCTCTGGCATAATTGGATGTAGTACTACAGCCAGATGATAAGAAATATTTGCCGCAACTCCGATGACAGTACCAGCGCGTTTTCTGAAGAAAAGTGAGAAATACTTATAAAAAATCCTCTTCAAAAAGAATATTTTGAAGGAATAACCAAGGAATACTTTGAAAAATCCTCTCCAACAAGGACAAGAGATGTTTCTGAAAGAGTAACTAATGCGAAAAGATGAGACCTACTTGTCATCCTCACTTCCTTTCACTAGAACCCACGGCTGTTGAGACTGCATATACTGGTTACCACGTCGTGACATTGAAAGGACCGTCCTAACAGCATCTTTCTGACGAACCGCATCCATCTGCTGATCCCATTCCACTGAATCCTCCTTAAATTTCACAGATTCAACACCTTTCTTCAGGTTTTACAACACAATACCGTCTAGCGAACAAAATGGAGTGACCGCCGGTTGTTGGATACCTGGATTCCTGCCAGAAGCTCAACGTCGGTGTCGTTCAGATGCATTTCCGGCACCACACCTCCGAAACTGTTGCTGAGGAACGACAGAGCTCGATTGATGAAGTTTCCCAGATTGGCGAGCAGTTCCGAGTTTACCTAAAGAGCCAAACTGGTCAGAAAACGAAGCCATTCTTATCCCTGGGCTCATTAAAGACGAATTCCACGGTCGCAAGTGGCACATGGGGAGTTTACCATCTATCCCGAGAGATTAGTCAACCAAACCGCGAAAAAAAAACAGACAACCCTCAAAAACCTACAAAACTCCCATATATGGGTCCCATTTCAATCGAGCCACTGCGCAGTAGGAGGGGAAAAGACAGTGTGATCACGAGCGAGAGTTAAAGAGATAGCGAGAAAAGTCCCCCAAAGGTGACAAAAGGTGTTAATTTCTGGGCGGGAGCTCCAAGAGGTGGGTGGAGTTACAGGGGCAATGTGGTTCTCATGGTCAGTCTTCGTCTTTCATCTCGTAACCGCCAACTTTACTCTGTAAAAGGGGTACCTTATTGGAAGAAAGAATTTCATCTACTAGG